ACTCCCCACCCGGCCAGGCAGAGAGATTCCCGGCGGTGGCAGGCCGCTCAGGGAGCTGTGGCCATTCTCTCACCCCAAGGAAGGTCTGGAGAGCACAGTGGGGTGACAATTATCCCACCTGCCCCGGTGCTGTGCTGACAGGGTTAATCCACCTATATAGAATTACCACCACCACTTTTCATAGCTAAAAGAGCCCTTAGAAACTATTTGCTCCAACTCTTTATTTTATAAAAGGTCTTGAGAGGCAGTGGGAACTCTCACAGGCAGCCGAAAAGAAAAGAGGAGGGTGCTGGCTCTCCTCACACCCACAGCTCGCAGGCGAACCCCCTCCCCAAAGCAGACGTCAGGCCCAGAAGAAGTACGTGGCTCCAGGACTCTTCCCAGCCCCCAGGCAAGATCATTTCTTCTCAAAACCAGGCTTCTGGGTCTCACCCAGATTACGCCCTTCCCCAGCCCTGTGGTCCAGGGATGAGAGCCTCTGGGGGCCACAGGGCTCGTTTTGGCTGCCTCTTCCTAAGGCTTCACCCTCCAGCCTCGGCTAACCTTAGACCTGGAGACGAGGCACACTCAGCCAGGCTGCAGGATCCTGCCTCTTCTCCAGGCGGTCCAAGACCCCCTGCTGTAACACTGGAGGCTGCCCCCGGTCACAGGTGGACTTTGAGAACTGTGAAGACCCCGGGCAGCAGTTCTGCAGCTGAGACTCCAGGATATGAGCTCTGGTCCTGACACTTAGCAGCTGCATAACTGTAGACCAGTTCTTCTTTTTATTTTTTTGACACATAAAAAGGTGTACATGATTAATGTACACGACATGATAAGTGTGGAGATAAGTATATACCCATGAAACCACCACCATAATTTATGCCATAACCTATCCATCACCTCAGAAAGTTTCCTCTGCCCTCTTATTTATTATTTTTTTGTGATAAGAACACTTAACATAAGCTCTACCCTCACAGCAAAATTTGAAGTGTATAATACAGTATTGTTAACATAGGCTCTATGCTGTACAGTAGATCTCTAGGGCTTGGTCACCTTGCCTATCTGAAACTTTACACCCTTTGACTAATACCTTCCCATTCCCCCCACCCCGCCGCCCCCAATCTGTGGCAACCACCATTCCACACTCTGCTTCCATGAGTCTGACTATTTTAAATTTATCCTTTAAGTGATATCATGTAGTATTTGTCCTGTGTCTGCCTGGGCCAATTCTTAACCCCTGCAAGCCTCCATTTCCTGCTCTGAAAAAAGGCACAATTATACCTACTTCAGGGGGTGGTTTTGTGAATTCAAACAGACAACTCAGGCAAAGCACAGTGCCTGACAATTATTTTATAGAATTATTATTAATCATAATAATGCTATAACTCCCATTCACTGGCCCTTACTCTAGGCCAGGAACAATGCTAAGTACTTGACATGAATTATCTCATTTGTTCCCTCTTACAAATCTAAAACAGGTGTTACCAATTTCATTCCACCTTTGAGGAAGTACGCTCAGAATCGTTAAGTGAATTGTCCAATGATGCACAGCCATTAAGTGGTGAGGCTGGGATTCCAACCCAAGTTTGACTTCAAAGCCTACGATGACATTTGTGGTCTCTGCCTTTCTGTTCATGATCTTACCCAGTTAAAAAACCTATCAGGTGATAAGCAGGTCCTGGGGGAGAGTATCCACTGACAACCAACTGAGAGTAACGAGGACCCTTGGGGATTGGAGCATTTGGCAATTTCATTTTCTGGTTAGCTCCATATTCACTAGAAGCCTGTGTTTATTGCTAAATATTTTCTAAAGCAAGGCTCAGAGGCAAGAACTTGCCAACCAGAAGGTCAGTCTGAAAGACACTCTGACACCTGCCACTTCAAGGCCACCAGAATGCTCACGTGCCACAGTGTGGGGGGGCCACACTCACCGTCACCAGCACCCCATCCTCCCCTTTGCTGAGGATCTCCACTCTGCTGCTCGCCACCAACCCCACCCCGCCCAGGGGCCCAAGACTCAGGGACTGATGTGCTGTCCGTCCCCAGGGAAGAGGGGACCTGTGCTCTTTCCTGGCTCTGCCACCCAGTGGGACTCAGATTTCTCATTTGTAATGTGAAAGGATGAGCTGAAGATCTCCAAGATCCACGAGCGTCAGAGGGAGCAGCTAGTTCCAGTGAGACGGACCTGGGTTCCAATCTCACCTCTAACATCTTCTGTTGTTAGCAACCATAAGTGATAACATTTGCTGCACGTTCACTGTACACCAGACACCGGGCTTCGGATTTGTGCAGCATGATTTCATTTAATCCTCACAGCAACCCTGTGATGAAGGTACTTTTATCTCCATAAAAGAAACAGAGGCTCAGAGAGGATAAGTGACTTGCTCAGGGGCACACAGTTAGTAAATGAGGGCCAGGATTTGAATGCCCAGCACATGTAACAGTAAACATTTGGTGAATGAACCCTGTTCTGCCTGTGCTCTTAGCCACCAAGTCCTATCAAGTTCACCCCATAACCAATTCCATTCCCTTCTCCCTTCCCCCAAAAGTATGTTTGAGGCTTGACTGGCATAAAGTAAGCCAACCCTAGCCGCCCACCACCAGGTGCAGGACACTGGCCTGAGGACCCTAGACCTTAGCAGAGGATTCCCATCAGTGACCGGGAGACGGGTTCCTACACACGATAGGGCCGGGAGTCCATAGGGTTCCTCCTTCAGAGGCTACCCCAGCACTGTCAAGCAGGCTGCGGCAGGCTCTCATTACTAGACACACAGTAGGCACCCTATGGAACCCCAAGGAGCCCAGGAATCAGTTGTGGTTTGCCCAGGTACTGCCTTCAAAGGGAGCTCAGCAGGCCCCGGCCCCCTCCGTGCACCTTGCCTGGCTCCCCGCCACCCGCGCCTCACGCGCACCATCTCCCCAGCAAAAGGGCATGGGCACCCGCTGCCAGTGCCAGCCCCGAGCTAAGGGCTTCAGCTGACACGCCAGGGCCCGCGGCACCTGGACCCCGAGGGTCCACCTCCCCTCACCCTCGCCTACCTCCCGCACCTCCTTCAGCCCCATCACACGTCACTCCTCCGATCTGCAAATTCCCCTGGGCTCCTCTCCACCCCAGCGCTCCTGTCGTTCCCACCCGAGGAAGGTCAGGGGGCCGCTCCCTCAATTCCAAACCCAACCGGGTGGCGGAACCCTCGCCCGCCGCGAGGGCGCGCATCTCACCTGCACCCCGCAGCCGGGCTCCGCGAGGCTGAAGCTTCCAGGCCGGCCCTCTGAGGAGCTGGCTTTGGCCGAACCCGCCACCGCCGCCCGCTCTGAGCCGTGGAGGTCCACGCAGGGAGTGCAGGCTCCGCCGCGCCGTCTGGTCAGCCGCCGCGGGGCTCGCAGGTGGCCTCCGTGCGCCTGCCCAGCTGGCGAGCCCGCGCGTCACCTGTGCACGTGCGCAGGCTCTTGAGTTCAGCTTCCTGAGCCCGAGGCCAGACCCACCTCCTTGGCTCGCGGAATTCTGGGAATTGCAGTTTGCGTCCGGTGACAGCCCGCTCCTTCAACCCGCGGAATCCTGGGAGTTGTAGTTTGCCCGACGAGAGGCGGTTTTGCTTGGTGTAAAGTTTCTACAATTATGGGAGGCCTGATAATAAACTTAAATGCAAGTTAAACCAACAAGAAGATGTCATTTATCAAATCAAAGTAATTAATATTTTCACATGCTTTTAAAGAACATATAATACTACGGGGGACTTACGTACAAAAGTACCGTTCCTCTGCTCCAATCCCTCAGCCCCACTCTATCCCACCAGGACCGACCTGCTCCTAAAGGGCAATATTCCCAAGTCTTATGGCTGCTGCATTTGGCATTTACTGCCGACTGTCTATATATATATATATATCTCGACATATATATCAATATATATATCTCCCTACTTCTTCATTTATGAATTTTAGACCTCTTGACTTTTTGCTAGTATAGATGAAAATTTTATTCATTTAGATGTGTACCAACTATGACTACCTGCACCTCCACTGATCTATGAGATAACACTTCTGTCTTTCGAATTGGGAAAACCCTGTATTTTTTTATAATTATTTTAAATGATAATGCCCAAGTGGTGAGGCAGTAAAAGTTCATAAATTTATGCAGGGCAATTTGACAATACAGTCAAAAGCCTTTAAAAACATACAGACCTCTAACCAAGAAATTCTAATAAATGTGGATGAGTGCAAAGGCTGAACAGTGTTGTTTATAATGATAATAAGTTATAAGGCTGGAGTGGCTATATTAATTTCAAAGTAGAATCAAGAGCAAGGAAAATCATCAGGGATAAGAAGGGATATTATGTAATGACAAAAGGGTCAATTCACCAACAAGACATAATAATCCTAAATGTGAATGTACCTGACTATAAAGCCTCAAAATAAATGAATCAAATACTGATGGAACTAAAAGTAGAAATAGACAAACCTGTAATTACAGTTGGAGACTTCAACATCCTTCTCTCAACAACTGATAGAACAACTAAGCAAATAGTCAGCAAGGATACAGAAAAGCTCAACAACACCAAAACCCAACAGGATCTAATTGATATAACATAACACTCCATTAAACAACAAAAGAATACACATTTTTTTCAAACACCCACAGTATATATATTAAAATAAACTCTATCCTGGACCATAAATATAAAAATTAGCAAAAGACATTAATAGACATTATACTGAATATATATATATACATATGGCAAATAAATACATAAAAAATGAAAAGATGCTCAACATCACTAGCCCTTAGGGAAATGCAAATTAATACCATGATGAGAAGTAAATTAAAAAATAATGTCAATATCAAATGCTGGTGAGTATGCAGAGAACTCTATCTCTCATACATGGCTGGTGGAAATAGTTTGGTAGTTTCTTAAAAAAAATAATTTCTTAAAAAAAAAAAAACATGCACTTACCATATGACTCATCAATCACACTCCTGGGCATTTATCCCGGAGAAATGAAAACTCACACAAAAACTTGTACCAGTTGTTCACAGCTGCTTTATTTGTAATACCCCAAAACTGGAAACAAACAAAATGTCCCTCAACAGATGAATGGTTAAACAAACCGTAGTGGATCCATACCATAGAATACTATTCAGTACTACAAAGGAATGGACAATTGATACAGGCAACAACTTGGATGGATATGAAAGGCATTATGTTGAGTGAAAAGATGTCAATCGCAAAAGGTTACATATATATAATTCCATTTATATGACATTCTTGAAATGATAAAACTGTAGAGATGGAGAACAGATTAGTGGCTGTCAGGAGTTAGGGATGGGGTAGAGGGGGAAGTGGTGAGTGTGACTATATAAGAGTAGCAGGAGGGAGATCTTTCAGGTACTTGATTGTGGTGGTGGTTACACAAATCTACACATGTGATAAAATGACACAGAACCATACACAACTTTATACCAATGTCAAACACCTGGTTTGGATACTGTACTATAATTATGTAAAATGTAACCATTGGGGGAAACTGGATGAAAGGTTCCAAGGAAACTCTCTCTACTATCTTTGCAACTTCTTATGAATCTATAATTATTTCAAAATTAAAAGTTTTTAAAAAGAAACAAACAAACAAATAAAAAAACAAACCATGGACATTACTTAGGTCCTTAGCCATACAGGATTGATTAAATAACATCATGGACCATCTGGGAAATTATTAAAAGAATGTTGCAAAATAATATTCACTTAACACTTGGAAGATATTTCATATTATATCATATTTAATTTTTAAAAAGTACCAAAACATTCAAAGTGACCCCTTTTTAAAAAGAGTATATTTGTGCAAAAGAGTCCAGAAGGATGTCAGCACATGCCCTGTGTAGTGAGATTATAGGTGATTTTTATTTTCATCTTGTTAATTACCTATATATATATATATTTCTCCCCCACCCCCGCAATGAACATGTATTTTAAATTTAGGGTTTAAATTTAAGTCGTATTTAGTTTTAAAAAAAGCTCCTAGGTTGAGTTCACGGTTCTCTACAACAGCGGTCCCCAACCTTTTTGGCACCAGGGACCGGTTTCGCAGAAGACACTTTTTCCACGGACGGGGCCTGGGGCGGGGGGCGGGGGGGCGGAGGTGGGGATAGGTTCACACGGTACAGCGAGTGATGCTTTGCTCCCTTGCCCGCCGGTCACCTCCTGCTGTGCGGCCCGGGTCTTGACAGGCCGCGGACCCGTCCTGGTCCGAGGCCCAGGGCTTGGGGAACCCTGCTCTACAAGAAAGCCAGCAGTGGTCAGCCGATGGAAGGAGGTACCGAGCAGCCCAAGAAAGCAGCCCATTACTAAAGGTGGGAAGGGATTGAGTTCTGGACAAAGCAGTCTTCTGGTTAAGATCCCAAAGGACGTAGCCTGTGGGTCCCCTAGGACCCAGTTTGCAGACAAGGATGATGTTTCATTTTATGAGCCAATCATGTTTTAAAAACTATTCTGGTTGTGGAGCATTAGGCAGTGCTTTAGTTGCTGATAGGAAGCTTTGACAGACTGGGAGAAAACAAGTACTTTCCTTTGTAGTAAATACCCAAGGTGGGCTGAGTAGCTGTCTTTTTGAAGCCTTAACCAATACTTTCAATAAATCAAGTATTTATGCAGCACCAAGCTGGGTTTGGCATTCCTCATGACTGAGTCCTCTCCCTTCCTCTGGGGTCACATTCCCTTTCTATTTCTATATGTGGATGACTCCCAAATCCACATCTCTAGTGCTGAGTTCCAGATCCACACTTCCGATCAAGTTGCTTGGGGCCTATTTCTACCCGGCTTACCTGACAGCATCTTAAAGTCTATGTGATGAACATGACGATGATGGTAATGATTTTAAATAGATCTGCAAATTATTTTACTCTCCTTCTTTCAAAAGATGAAGTTGAATTATTTTTTCCTTGAATAACTTAGTGATTCACTTAGTGGCATAATATAATGACTCACTGCTAATGAATAAAATATGTCAGAAGCAATACAATGTGATTTCTGAAACTAGGTCTTAAAAAAGACAGCATCTACACCTCTGTCTCTGTCTCTCTGGTAGCCTTTGGAACATAGCTGCCATGTCATGAGGAAGTTCAGGCCACATGGAAAGGACATGCATGGGCACATTCGTTTGCTAGGGCTGCCACAGACTGGGTGGCTTAAACAAAAGAAATTTATTTTCTCACATTCCTGGAGGATCGAAGTCCGACACCAAGGTGGTGGCAGGTTTGGTTTCTCTCCTGAGGCCTCTCTCCTTGGCTTGCCGACGGCCACCCTCTCTGTGTGTTACCCCATGGCCTTTACTCTGTGCACAAGCGTCCTTGGTGTCTCTTCCTCTCTTGTTAGGACACAAGTCCATCAGATTGGATTAGGGCCCATTCTAAATGGCCTCGTTTGAGCTTAATTACCTCTTAAAGTCCCTATCTCTAAATACAGTCACATTCTGAGGTACTGGAGGTTAGTTAGGAGTACAACATATGAATTTTTGGGGGGACACAATTCATTCCATAACAATGGGTGTACCAGGCAACGGCCCCAGGTAGGCCTGCAGCTGACAACCAGTAGCAATTGTCAGATATGTGAGTGAATGAGCCCTAAGGCGATTCCACCCTCCAGCCTTCAAGCTACCTCAGCTGATACCCCAGACATCACAGAACAGAGATAAGCGTTCCTGCTGCCTTGTTTAAATTTTTGACCCACGGAAATTACAATAAGTAATACATGATTTTTGTGATTTTCAAGCCACATGAATACGGTTTTGGAATACGGTTATGTAACATTAGATAAATAATATCCTTGTATTACACTTGTCTAACACTGCATAACAAATCCCAAAACGTACTGGCTTAAAGCAACAATAATCATTTATTATATCTCACAGTTTCTTTGGGGCCAGAATCTGGAAATGACTTGGCTCATTGGTTCTGGTTCAGGGTCTCTCATAAAGTTGCAATCAGATGTTGGCTGAGACTGCAGTCAACTGAAAGCTGACAGAGACGGGAGGATCTGCTTCCAAGAGGGCTGGTTCACGTGGCTGGAAAGTTTGTTCTTCTCCATGTGGACCTGTCTATACGGCCTCTTGAGTGTCCCCGTGGCCAGGCAGTTTGCTTCCCCAGAGCAAGTGATTTAAGAGACCAAGGCAGAAGCTGAGAAGAGACCAAGGCAGAAGAATACCTTTTGTGACCTAGCCTCAGAGGCCTCATACCATGTCCCGTCTGTGTATTCTATTGGTCACATAGGTTGACACTGATTCATGTGGAAAGGGACTATGCAAGGGTACAAATACCAAGCGACAAGGATCTTTGAAGACCCTCTTGGAGGCTGGCTACCATAATGATAATCAGAGATACCATCTGTTCAGTACCTATTATGTGCTTGGCTTTAGATGGAAATGATCTCATTTAATCCTCACAACAACCTCATGCAGTAGATTATTTTTTTCACATCTTTATTGGATTATAATTGCTTTACAATGTTGTGTTAGTCACCTATATGTATACATATATCCCCATATCCCCTCCCTCTTGTGTCTCCCTCCCACCCTCCCTATCCCACCCCTCTAGGTCATCACAAAGCATTGAGCTGATCTCCCTGTGCTATGTAGCTGCTTCCCACTAGCTATCTATTTTACATTTGGTAGTGTATATATGTCCATGCCACTCTCTCACTTCGTCCCAGCTTCCCCTCCCCCTATGTCCTCAAGTCCGTTCTCTACGTCTGCGTCCTTATTCCTGCCCTACCACTATGTTCATCAGTACCGTTATTTTTTTAAATAAATTTATTTATTTATTTATTTTTGGGGGGTGGCTGCATTGGGTCTTCGTTGCTACGCACAGGCTTTCTCTAGTTGCAGCGAATGGGGCTACTCTGTTGCAGTGCACAGTCTTCTCACTGTGGTGGCTTCTCTTGTTGCTGAGCACGGGCTCTAGGTGCACGGGCTTCAGTAGTTGTGGCACACAGGCTCAGTAGTTGTGGCTCGCAGGCTCTAGAGCACAGGCTCAGTAGTTGTGGTGCATGGGCTTAGTTGCTCTGCAGCATGTGGGATCTTCCCAGACCGGGGATCGAACCCGTGTCCCCTGCATTGGCAGGCGGATTCCCAACCGCTCTGCCACCAGGGAAATCCCAGTACCGTTTTTTTAGATTCCATATATATGAGTTAGCATTTGTTGTTCTCTTTCTGACTTACTTCACTCTGTATGACAGACTCTAGGTCTGTCATTACAAATAACTCAATTTCATTCCTTTTTATGGCTGAGTAATATTCCATTGTATATATATGTACCACATCTTCTTTATCCATTCATCTGTTGATGGACACATAGGTTGCTTCCATGTCCTGGCTATTGTAAATAGTGCTGCAATGAACATTGGGGTGCATGTGTCTTTTTGAATTATGGTTTTCTCTGGGTATATGCCCAGTAGTGGGATTGCTGGATCATATGGTAATTCTATTTTTAGTTTTTTAAGGAACCTCCATACTGTTCTCCATAGTGGCTGTATCAATTTACATTCCCACTAACAGTTCAGGAGGGTTCCCTTTTCTCCACACCCTCTCCAGCATTTATTGTTTCTAGATTTTTTGATGATGGCCATTCTGACTGCTGTGAGGTGATACGTCATTGTGGTTTTGATTTGCTTTTCTCTAATGATTAGTGATGCTGAGCATCTTTTCATGTGTTTGTTGGCCATCTGTATCTTCTTTGGAGAAATGTCTGTTTAGATCTTCTGCTCATTTTTGGATTGGGTTGTTTGTTGTTTTGATATTGAGCTGCATGTGCTGCTTGTATATTTTGGAGATTAATCCTTTGTCAGTTGTTTCATTTGCAAATATTTTCTCCCTTTCTGAGGGTTGTCTTTTTGTCTTGTTTATGGTTTCCTAGTAGATTATATTTGTCCCCAGTTTATAGATGAGAAAGGCTAAGAATCAGTAAACATTTTGCCCAGGGGCAAGTAGCTAGCAAATGGAGGGAGATGGAACCCAGCTTGGTGTGACTCCATCCCAGCCTCTCCATACTCTCTGGGGCCCTGAAACCTCCAAGTCACTTTCACCTTCTCTCTCCTCACCACCAAGTTGTGTAAATTCCTGCCATGTTTATCCTCCCCCTCATCTTCTTCCAACCTTGCATCTACTGTCCTGATTCAGGGTGGTGCCCAAAAATATGACTAAAAAAAATACATATTGGTTAAATTAAGGGAGAAACTCTAGCCACCTGTTATAGCTCTACTGTACTCAGTTTGAAACCCATGCATCTACCGTATTAGGATCTTTAAAAGGAATCTGCACGCTCAAAGCAAATGGCTAAACAGGAAGCCAAATAATCTCAATGGAATCTGTGCCCAGATCAGAAAACAAGGCCAGGGCAAGGCCCCGGAGAGCTGGATTAAGAGAAGAGGCAGAAAACAAGAGCTCTTCTACCCAGCCGTTAATCCCGGGCTGGTTTCTCTGGCTATGGAAGCGGAATGAGGTTTTCAATGGCTGTAAAAATATGCTTTTAGGACTTCCCTGGTGGCGCAGGGGTTAAGAATCCACCTGCCAATGCAGGGAGACACATGTTTGTGCCTTGGTCCGGGACGATTCCACATGCCGCAAAGCAACTGGGCCTGTGCACCACAACTGCTGAGCCTGCACTCTGGGGCCTGCGAGCCACAACTACTGAACCTGCGCACCTAGAGCCTGTGCTCACAAGAGAGGCCACCGCAATGAGAGGCCCGTGCACCACAATGAAGAGTGGCCCCTGCTCTCCGCAACTAGAGAAAAAGCCCATGCACAGCAAGGAAGACCCAATGCAGCCAAAAATAAATAAATAAATAAACATATATGTAAAAAAAAAAATTAACCATTCATTAAAAAAATGTTTTTAAAATTTTAATAATTACTTTTGAGGAAATATAATTTTTGTAAACCTCCCCTAGTGTATGTTTTTAGGTTATATTTGCCCAGCTCACTGATGGCATGTTAAGACATTTTGCTAGTATTTGGGCTCTCCAAGCCTGTTTGCCATGGGGACATTCCACTTCTCCTCCCACAGGGGGCGCTCCCCGCAGATAAGCAGGAGGTATAATCACAGCTTTGGGGAGTCTACCCCACGACACACTGACTTCTATAGATAATTAAGTGCTACCTAGGAAGAGGGATAATTATAAAAGACACATTAATTTCCTGAAACTGAAGCTCAAACGATTGCCTTAAATAAACTTTAAGTTTTGGAGGAAGATGTAAAATTTGTATAATTCAAAATCATCCCATTCTTTCATCTCCTCTCCCCCAACACTGCCTTCTTCCTTTTGCTCCTGCCAATGACTGTTATTTTAATTGTCCTGCTCATGCTTCCAGAAGAAGATTTCACTCTGAATGTGAGAGAGAAGACACATCCTTTAGTGGCAAATGCTCACAGTTACAAAGAAAAAACAGTGCCTTTGGTAGACATACGTGGGGAATACCCAACTGAGAATCTGGCAAACTGGCTGCCCCACCTGCTACAGGACGGTCCTGGGTCATTTGCTTGTCTTCCTCTGTTGGCTCATGTATGCAAATAGCTGCAGTTACCCCCTGAACATGGCTGCTTCTGAAATCTCCAACTCAGTGGTTTACTTCACGTTCTCCCATCCGATGTCCTGAATTTCTTGGAGGATAATTTTGCTGGAAACTTAGAGGTTAAAAACAGGGAACATTGGCTAAGTGAAGTAAGCGAGACAGAGAAAGACAAATACTGTATGACCTAATTTATATGTGGAATCTAGGACGCCCCCCCCCAAAAAAAACCAAGTTCATAGACACAGAGAACAGATTGGTGGTTGCCAGAGGCTAGGGCGTGGGAGGTGGGCAAAAGGGGTGTATAGAGTCAAAAGGTACAAACTTTCAGTTATAAAATAAATAAGTCATGAGGCTGTAATGTACAGCATGGTGATTAGCTAATAATACTGTATTGCATATTTGAAAGTTGCTAAGACGGGTCTTAAAAATTCTCACCATAAGAAAAAAAATTCTGTAACTATGTATAGGCATATTAACTAGACTTATTGTAGTGGTCATTTCACAATATATACAAACATTGAATCATTATGTTGTACACATGAAACTAATACAATGTTGTATGTCAGTTATACCTCAATAAAAAATTAATTAAATGCTAAAACAATAGGGTATGTTGTAATACCTAGTAGATGGCGAGGGTATGAGGGAAAAGGTGCTGTCACACACTACAGATGAGAATATAAATCACTGTGAATAAGTCAGGGACTGCTTTGGGCCGTTAGCAACAGAGGGCTGCCTGCAGTAGCTTAGAACAATTAAGAACTTTGTTTGCTCAGGTCTGAGAAACAGCCCAGAGCTGTTTGAAAGCTCTAACAGGGCTTTCAAGGACCCAGACTCATTTGGCCTCCCTGCTCCCCCCTCCTTAGTGCACGGTGTCCATCCTCAAGGTTACAAGAAGGCTGCTGCAGCTCCTGCCATCACAACAGAGACCATTTGGAAGAGGAAAAAGGACTGGAAGCAAAAAGGACTTTCCTGGAAGTCTCACTCAAAACTTCTGCTTCCATCTCACTGGCCACCCCATCTACAAGGGAGGCCCCCAAATGTAGCTTTTTGATTATTAAGGGAGTAAGGGAGAATGGATATTGGGTAGGCTGCCATGAGGTGCAGACTTTTTGGAGGACAATTCAGAAATAGCTATCAAAATTTAAAAATTTAAATACACTTACCTCTTGACTCAGAAATCCCCCTGCTAGGAATTTATACTGGAGATGTGTTCTCATATATGTGCATATGCTTACACACCACAGCTGTTTCTTACAGCAGGAAAGGATTCATGGACATGCATTTTCACTACATGCAATGTCTCAGTGAATGTCAGGCTCTGACCCATCCGATTAGCAACTTCTCTTCCCCTGGAGGAGGTGGGTAGAGACAGGGAACAGGAATGTGGCTGGGGGTTCCGTCTCAGCCAAAGTAGTGAAGTAGGGAGGGGAGCATAAATGTTTCTCTGCAGCCCTTAGGAGGACACAGAATGGGATTTATTAAGGAATATTAGGTGACTCAGAGGTTCACTGGAATGGATGAGGAACAGACTCTAGACTGGTTTTCTAGGAACAATTCCCGCAATGTCTGAGAACTGAACTGCCGAGGGAGCAGCTGCCTCCCCACCTCTGGGATCATGCTGCTGTGCCATGGGATGGAAAATACCACTGACTCTGCCAGCTATAGAGAAACCACCGTCCTCTGCCACCATTTCCCCCGGCAGGGGTACCACCTCATGGCGTTCTCTTTCTTCTTCCACGTTTTATAGGGTGCATCTGTTTGGTGGAGACTTGGTCCCAGGGATCCCTTGTTGCAAAGAGTCTGGGAGACGGAGTTTGTATTTCTCCATCTCCAGTGTGGGCAGCCTGGTGGAAGGGGGTTGGAGTGAGGGCAGAGTGAGATCCTGATGAGTGCAGACTTCTGTATCTGCTACCCTCACCAAGCACCTCATGTAGTTGCTTTTCAAAAGACAGTCCCTCTCATAAGAGGAATTCTCTTGCCAGTTTTTAAGACATTTTTCTTTATCTTTTTACATGGCTGCATGAAAATCAGATAGAATAAGGCTGTGAAGCTATTGGCCAATGTCTGTCATACGGTTAAGTGTTCAGTACATGTTAACTATTAACCAGTAAGGAGGTACCTTTCCAGCTGGCCCTTCAAGGTTGGGGGCTGGGAGTTCCAACCCAAGGTGCTTAAGGAGAACAGGCAAAGAGAGCGGGGGGATGATCCATTAATGAAAGTGTTCATCTTTAATTTTTTTCTTCCTGTGGTCCATCTCACTTCTCCCTGAGTGTCTTTTCATTCTTCAAGAATGACCAACTTCACCTACCATCGACTCTACCTATTGAAACCTCTGAACGAGCCAGCCCTTCACAAGACTCCAGAGTTGTCGGTAGTCCCTGACTTAGTTTCTTCTGTGTATCTCCATCAGCCTTCACCATTGTTTGGTTGACTGTCCAGAGGCAGCATGACTAGAGAATGCACTATATCCAGATGAAACCTCAGAGAGACAGCAAGATGGATAACGTCTCTGCCTGGGATGGTGCCCCAGATGAGCTCAGTTGCTTAGTCGCCCAAGGAGACTCTATTTTTTTTTTTCAAACTACCTAAACAATCCACTGTGCACCACACACAAATTCTAGCAAGAGAATGTCTGCTGATGAAGGCGGCAGTTGGTTTGTGGAGGCCCAGCTATAGGCAAGTTGACTTTCACGCAGACGTGACGTGCAACACCACTGCTCGCTGCTGGGAGTCTCCCACTGAAGTTAAGAGGAGCTCTGGGTCTCTAATTCTACATGGGGAACACCATCCTTCAACAATTTCCTTCATTCAGCAAACACTCTGGGCAATATATCATTTGGGGGTATTTATCAGTGTTTGGGGGGAGATCTTCAATGTGTATTTTCAGACTGCATAACCTCAGAGGAGACATTTGAGCCAAATGTCTTACAGTTGTCTTACATTCATCAAAGACAAGGTTGAAGGCTTGCTGGCTTTGCTTCCTTTAATTTTGGAAAAACTCTTCTAGTCTGATTGAATCTACCTGATTCATAGCCAGGCTAGAAGGGGGCAATCATCTGCAAGACATTCTAAATCATTCTGGAGGAAAAAGAAACCCTCTGTTTGTCCTGCTCTCGTTAGATTGCCGTCACAGGAGAAATCGCCAGCCCTTGGCCTGAGTTTCGGGGGATGAAGACCAGGCTCTTGAATGCGCTCTGTCCCATATTTCGTTCCTCTGTCAAGAACTTAATCCCGGCTTGTGAAACAGACATTTTGTAAAAGCAGTAGTAATAAGGCTGGCGTCAGCAGTGTGGCCTAAAGAGCAAATGATCTCACTGGCATATGACGATTCATCAGTTCAGAAGAGAAAGGAGAGAGGAGATGAAGATGAGATTCCTGAAGATGAGAGAGGAGAATTCTTAAAACAAAACGAAGATAGCTTGTTGGAACAGAAAAGTCATTCCATTCCTGGGGCAGAGAAGGAAATCCGATACAGGCTGCTCACTTCCCACACCTGCCCTTGGAGTTTGCACATAGAGCTCGCCCCTTGTTCCTCCTCCGATGCCAGACTTCCAAAACCCAGCGAACACACCAGATGCTGCATATACCATCTGGATCATCCGCACCTACAGGAGTCTCTCACTCCTCTATGACTTTCATTTGTTGTGTCATTCTCTTAAGTTGGGTTCCCCCAAAACAAGAATTTGAGAGAAAGTAGTTTGAGAGGCGGTACCAGGAAGCTCCAGCCAAGGGCTGGAGAAGTGATACAGGAAGGGAAGGAAGCTAATATAGGGGGAATTAATACCACCACTGTAGGAATCAGTGTCTCAGTCCCACTGGGGAGCTCTGGAGACTGCACAGACCCCACCTCACTGTCATCTTCCCTGAGTGGGGTAGGAATGGAGGCTTTTATCCTTCACCTCCTATCCATTTTGCAGGAGCTGTTTCTAGGAGTCTCAGAACTTCCTTCCCTGCACTCATGGAGAAAGCCCTCAGATGGAGAATCCCAGGGGTGTTCCTCAAGAAACCATCATTATACAAGGGAGTGGGGAAGGTTGAGGGGATGTGGGTTGGCAATGACAGCATCTGCTGTACTTTCCCTCCTTTATTCACTAACTCATCACTCTGTGTGAAGCCCTGTGCCAGATCCTGTAGCTGCAATGAAGAACAACAGACACTATCTGCAATCTCCTGGAGCTTAAAATCTAGCAAAGAAGTCTCACGTTGATTAAATAAGCATGCAAGTATATAATAAAATCAGTGAAAAAGTGAGGCAGAATAAAAGAACTGTGAGTTCAGGGAAAGGATGGCAGGAAAACATACTCTGGCTTGAGAAGTCATGGAGGGCTTCTTTGAAGAAGATGTGAGAGTTATCTAACTAGAGGTGAGAGAGAGATGGGAAGAGCATTTCAGGCAGAAGAAATAGCATGTGCAAAGACCTTGAGGCACCAGGGACCACAGTAGTGAGGCTAGAGGTCAAAGAGCAAGAGGATGATGTGGGGCTAAATAAGGCTGAAAAGGTGAGCATGAAACGTACTGTGCAGTGTTGTGTGAGCTGTGCTCGAGGTTTTGGTCTCTGTTCTAGAGCAGTGGAAGCCATTGAAGATTGTTAAGCTAGGAAGCGATGTAATTAGATTTTTAAATTTAATAGATTTTTAAAAGAGAAAAGATAGTTGCTGGGCAGAGAATGGGTCAGAGTAGGAAAGAGTGGAAGAAGTCATGAAGTCAAGAGTTGATGGCAGGATTTCTGCTCCAGCCCAAATAGAGTAACAGGGACCAGATTTATCCTCTAGCCTGAAATAGTTGTAACATTGAACAAAGCATATGAAACGATGGTTTTTAAGCATCGAGCATGCTTGATGATGCACAGTGATCCCTGAGAGAGAATAAACAAATGAGGTAGAGTTTATAATTTCCCCAGCTTACTGCATGGAGAGTTTCTAGGCCAAAAGAAAAGGAAACCAGGCAGAGTCCTGAGTTGAGAAAAAGAGCTGGAAGTCTTGGGGAGCCAGAGCAGCCAGAGTTCAAAGGGCGGAGTACTGGAGAGAACTCAAACAGAAAGAGAGAGTTCTAGCCATAAAAAAGAATGAGATGATGCCATTTGCAATAACACAGATGGACCTAGAGATGATCATACTACGTGAAGTAAGTCAGACAGAGAAAGACAAATATTATATGCTAATACTTATATGTGGAATCTTAAAAAAATGATACAAATGAACTTATTTATAAAACAGAGGGCTTCACTGGTGACGCAGTGGTTGAGAGTCCGCCTGCCGATGCAGGGCACACGGGTTCGTGCCCCGGTCCAGGAAGATCCCACATGCCGCGGAGTGGCTGGGCCCGTGAAGCCATGGCCGCTGAGCCTGCGCGTCTGGAGCCTGTGCTCCGCAACGGGAGAGGCCACAACAGTGAGAGGCCCGCGTACCGCAGAAAAAAAAAAAAAAGAAATAAAACAGAAATAGACTCACAGACATACAAAACAAACCTATGGTTACCAAAGGGGAAGTCGGGGGAAGGGATAAATTGGGAATTTGGGATTAACAGATACACTCTACTATATATAAAATAGATAAACAACAAGGACCTACTGTACAGCACAGGGAACTATATTCAATATCTTGTAATAACCTATAATGGAAAAAATCTAAAAAAGGAAAAAAAAATATATATATGTGTCACTATTCTATATGCCTGAATCACTGTAAATCAACTATACTTCAATTTGAAAAATAATAAAATAAAAGAGAGAGTTCTAGAGCTCTGGATAGGGTCCCCCTCAAATTTTTGGTTGAATATCGATCAGTGTATGTGTATGAGGAAACTCCCAGAGGCCAAAGAAAGAGTCACCTAAAAGGATTAGAGGGAATAGTTCCCAGAGCTCACACGGGGCTGGGAGATTGCAAACCTCCCTCTGAATAATTAATAAGACAAGCAGAGAGAAAATCACTGAAAATGTAGAAGACTTGAATATGTAGGTAAAAATATAGAAGACAACAAACTTGACCTAACTGATATTTAAACAATACCCCAAATAGTAGAATATTCATTTTTTTCAAATGAACATGGACCATTTACCAAGACAGACAATATTTTGGTGCATAAAATAAGTCTTAATAAACTTAAAATGATTCAAGTTAAAGGTAGGTTCTCTCACCAAAGTGGAATTAAATCTGAAATCAATGATGAAAACATACCTGGAACCCCCCCCCAATTTTTGAAAACTAAATAACACATTTATAAATAACTCATGGATCAAAAAGGAAATTAGAAAATATGAATGAATGAAAACAAAAACCCAACAATCTAAACTTGTGAGATGTCACTAACAGTACTTAAAGAGAAATTTATAGCACTAAAGGCCTAGGTTTTAAAAAAAAAAGTTTTCAAATTGATGACTTCAGCTTCTACCTTGAGAAACTTAAAAGAAAAACAATTAAACCAAGAGTAAGCAGATGAAAAGGAAACGATAGATCAGAACAGCAGTAGAAATAGGAATAGAAAACAGAAAAACAATAGAGAAAAATCAATGAAACCCAAAGCTGATTCTTCGAGAATTTGTAAGCCTTTAGCAAGACTGAGCAGAATAAAAAGAAACATTAAAAGATTACCAATACTATGAATGAGAGAGGTGACATCATACAGATTTCACTGATATTAAAAGGTTGATAAGGAAAAGTTATGAACAATTTAATGACAATAAGAGTTAAAAACCATCGAAACTTGAAAGATACAAAGTATCAAAATTCTAGAAAAAATAGATAACTTGATAACCCTATAAAATATCCCTTAAAAGAAAAATATTAATAAATTGGACCTAATCAAAACAAAAAACTTAAAAAAAAACACAAAACAAAACAAAAAACTTTTGCTCTTCAAAAGATACTGGTAAGAAAATGAAAAAGGCAAGTCACAGACTGGTAGAAAATATTTGTAAACATATATTTGACAGAGGACTTGTATTTAGAATATATAAAGAACTCTTAAAACTCAACAATAGAAAGACAAACTTTTTTTATGAATTTATTTATTTATTTTTGGCTGCATTGGGTCTTCATTGCTGCATGCAGGCTTTCTCTAGTTGCAGTGAGCGGGGGCTACTCTTCGTTGTGGTACGCGGGCTTCTCACTGTGGTGGCTTCTCTTGCTGTGGAGCACGGGCTCTAGGTGCCCGGGCTTCAGTAGTTGTGGCATGTGGGCTTCAGTAGTTGTGGCTCACAGGCTCTAGAGCACAGGCTCAGTAGTTGTGGCACACGGGCTTAGTTGATCCGTGGCATGTGGGATCTTCCCGGACCAGGGCTTGAACCCGTGTCCCCTGCATTGGCAGGCGATTCTTAACCACCGCGCCACCAGGGAAGTCCCAAGACAAACATTTTTAAATGGGCAAAGATTTGAGCGGACACTTAACCAAAAAAGCTATGTCACTGGCAAATAAGCACATGAAAAGATGCTTGGCATCATTAGTTATTGGGGAAATGCAAATTAAGAACATAATGAATACTATTACTCACATATTAGAATGACTAAAATTAAAAATTAAATTATACTAAAAGCTGGTGAGTATGTGGGGCTATTGGAACTAGCATACGCTACTTAAGGGGAATAAAATGGTACAACCACTTTGGAAAACAGTTTGGTAAATGCTTAAAAAGTTACACATACACCTACCACACAATGCAGCCTTTCCACTCCTAGGTATTTAATTAAGATAAAAGAAAGCAAACACCCATACAAAGACGTGTACACAAATGTTCACAGCAACTCTACTCATACAGCTAAAGTAGAACAACCCAAATATCCGTCAAAAAGTAAATAGAGGGGCTCCCCTGGTGGCGCAGTGGTTGAGAGCCCGCCTGCCGATGCAGGGGACACGGGTTCGTGCCCCGGTCCAGGAAGATCCCACATGCCGCGGAGCGGCTGGTCCCGTTAGCCATGGCCGCTGAGCCTGCGCGCCTGGAGCCTGTGCTCCGCAACGGGAGAGGCCACAACAGTGAGAGGGCCGCGTACCACAAAAAAAAAAATTAAATAGATAACCTGTGGTCTATCTATGCAATGAAATACTACTCAGACTAGTGATATCAATAACAACATAAATATGCCGAGTGAAAGAAGTCAGACATCCTGTATAATTCCACTTAGATAAAGTTCTAGAAAATGCAGATCTATAGGGACAGAAAGAAGATCAGTGGTTCCCTAGGCAGGAAGGGCTGGAAGGGCAGGAAGAAATGATTACAAAGGGACATGAGGAAACTTTTGGGGGAGTGAATGTGTTGATTGTTTTGATTGTGGTGATAGTTTCATGAGTGGATACATATGCCATAACTCACTGACTTGTATACTTTATATATGTGCCACTCATTCTACTTCAATTATATCTCAAAAAGCCTATTTAAAAAA